GTCGTGGTCGTCGTCATCGGCAGCGGCGGCGGCGGCGGAGGAGGAGGATCTTCGGCATTGCGTCGTGCAGCAACCGCACCTCCATCGGTTGCTGCCTTTAGTTTCCCGGGTAGGGGCTTGGGGATCGGCCCCTGTTAGGGCCGGTGTACTGGCGCCGCGTCCGCGTCCGCGCCCAGGTGAGCGACCTCGCGACATCGCCGACTACATCGCCGGATCGCAGTGGCAACAACGACGACCATCCCGTTCACCTTCGCCTGGCCGCTACGTCTCCGTATGGCTCACGGCTGGACGGGGGCGTACGGTACATGGACAGAGAAGCACCTCCACCAGATGTCACGAGGTTGTGATACACGCAGCACTTGAGAGGAAGCACGCAGGAGTCAGGGCGGTGTCAGGCGAACTGTTTATTGGGCAAACTTGTGCCCAGCAAAACAGGGCCAGACACAACTCACAGCAACAGCGGCGTGAACAGTCGTCGGCCGACGGAAAAAAAAAAGACCCCCAGTGGCGCACTGCGCCGGCTTTTTATACACGCGTCCTAACGCGTTCCAAAGTGGCTTACAAGATAAACGCGGCCTGCGTTGCGCTTAACAGAAAGTGATAGCGTCTTCCTTCGCTAACGAAAAGAACCGCACGTGTCAGTTTTTTATACACGCGTCGTAACGCGTTCCAGAGTGGCATACAAGATAAACGCGGCCTGCGTTGCGCTTAACAGAAAGTGATAGCGTCTTCCTTCGTAAACCAAAAGAACCGCACGTGTCAATATTGATAGGTCAGCTATTAAAAGACCACTGGAAGTTTCTCGTACAATTCCTATACATGTGCCAATCTTCGCGATTCCATTGCAAGAAGTGTTTTACGACTTCTTACGTAGATAAGAGCCCATGTATGATTGTTCCATAATATGCGAATCATTGCCTGCTTACAGAATTATATACAGTGAGTAGGGATGACACTGAATGATCTGATGATGTACCGGCAAGTATGCGATGTGCATTCACAATTGCGCTGACATCGCTTTCCAGGTGTCGTCGCTTTATATGTGTTTTCCTGTGTAGCTGCCGATCACGTAGTATTCGAGAAAAGCCACGCTCGCTATGACTGAATTTTTAAACCTACGGACGAAGGGGACCAAAGCGAAAGCCATTTATCTGTTACGGTGGCTTTAATGGCCTGTTGTGATGCCGTCTGAATGAATTTAACACTAGTTCCAGATGTCAAAATGCACACATCATATTCATATATTCTCGACACTGAAGAACAGCAGACGGTGGTCATCTCCAGAGACATTTTCACTACGTTCAAAGAATTCACAAGGCACTATCAAGTCGGACATATGTCCTTTCCCCGGCCACACGAAAAGTCCTCTAGGCCACAGGCAATATCCTTTCGCATGCTTCAGATGGGAACATACCCCAGCCTCTTAAACTTGTTATTCCTCCAACATTTCAGCACTTTGTCCCGACTGCCCCGATCAGTGGCTTTAACCAGAGACTCCGGAAATGCCCCTCTTTACAAGGAAAAGATCAAAAGTTTTCTGAAAATGCCTTTCATTTGATGCTCAAAAGCCCAATTCCCCTACAACAGCTGAAGGCTGTCTAGAAGGCCCACGAAGCGGTGGGGAGGCTTGGCTTCCGCGTCTTTACGTAGGAGCTACCGAAGATCCACCCCATATAAAACGTGGGTCCTTCAGGACCTCTATAAAGTTTTTCACCCATCCCCATCCAACGGTGGACCTCATGTTAGCTGCATTTAAGTGAGAGCCCTTAGAGAGGCGGCAGTTTTCTTGCTAAATGAGCGTATTGGCGAGAAACGGAAGAGGACTAAGACACATCCTTGTGTCACACACTGCTTGACATCGGGTTCCTCGCTCTTTACCCATGCCGAGGAATATTTTATGACCTCCTTGAAATTCAGAAATACGCCCTTTTCTGCCTACTCAAGATGAAAAGCTCGTTAGATGATGTTTGTTTCAGAACACATAGAAAGCCTGTCACGTGACTACATCTCCCAGAAGCAGAAAATTACCAGTTGTACAGAGGCAAGGAGAAGTCCTGAGACCATTTCATTGGTGAAACAAATAAATGAAGGATTTTTGTGACGTGAAGTTGGCAAGAATGTGATTTACATCAAGATATGTCGTCTGTCAGAATACAAAGGCGGACAGGCACATTTGCAGAGACACTCAGACACACACTGACCGACCGTCCCTTCCTGTAGTTACCTAAAGATGGGGGGAAATCGGCCCCTTACAATTACTTAGTAAGACGGCGGGGGGGGGGGCGCTGCGATATAACCTGTGCCCCCCTTAATGGAGAAAACTGCACACGCATACACACTCAACTGCTAATAGTCATCGACTAACATTTTATTTTGAACAAAAAAAAAACGCACAATGGTGAGCCTCACGACTAGTAAAATAACTGCATTTACTTGAAAATTTCAAAAAAAAAACCATTAAAACCTGACAAAGAACTGGAAAGTTTTACAACCGGCATGACGGAAGAAAAAAGCCCAAATTCGCCTATTATAAGCGGAACTGGGAAATCTGGACCATAGCCACTGTTCCACAAAGGCGGACCTTATGCTGGCGCAATGCCAGTGCAACGTCATTTGTGGTTGCAGTTCTGGCAACTAAATTTTCTACCAAACCAATAAACATTGCATGTGCAAGCCCACGATACAGGTGTGTCGGGTCATAGACGATTCTGGCTCTGGTGCAGGCACCTCTTTTATAGCAATCTAATAAACGATACAATTTTATTTCTGTGGTTCAGCAAGCTACATTTAGGGGAAATGCGGGTCGAAAAACGCGAGTTTTTTTTTTTCAAAATTACCGATTTTTTATTTTCGCCTGTTTTGATAAGATTAGTACCTCAACTGTTCTGAAAAAAATAATATAGGTCCAGACTTAACTGGAAATGCTTTAAAATTTCCTCTAAAGAGCACAAGGCGCCTGTTAAAAGTGCCGCCGACCATGCGCCGCCGCTAGCCATTGTTGATTGCATGAGTCCAAGACTCGAGCCTCACACTTCAAATACCAACAGTTTATATCGCTGATGCAGCGCAAGATAATAACAAGAATCACTCTTCTGCGCGTTTTTCAAGCGCCGCGACTGTCTTACCACATGGTACGAATCGGGGACCGCCATTGGCCGCTGCGCGCCTGTATTTGCTGTGAAGCCTATTTGCGGGGTCCATGTCTTGTCGAGCAGTGCAGCTGAACAATGCTTTTTTCATGTAAATATCTCCGTTATGAATGAAAAAAAAGCATTGCTCGCAAGTGAAAGCCGTTGTGAAGCGCGCTGTGTAGGAATGGGCTACGAGCAGCTGGTGCGACTTGTGGCAGTTGTTGGCTTGCAACAACCAATGCATCAAAGTCATTCACACCCGTCAGCCGGAAAGTTCGTGATGGGGCAATGGATGACGTCAGCGCCAATCTTGAGAGGCCGAAAGAGCTCGCAGTGAGAGAACTTAGCAGGGACGACATTGCCATTATGAACGACGGTATGTGGCACAAACATGGCTGCAAAATGGCATGACACTAGACTTAGTTGGGATTTGCAGTCCTGTCGAACTTCTTAGCTTGCAGTTGGCACAAGGCTCTGCCAGATGGAGCGGAAGTTTGGCATGCGTTTCATGGCCCTGTCTGTGAGCGAAATGTCTGAGGAGTAGGCTCGAAAACGCCGAGAAGGACAAACTAATGGTGCTGGCGTATTTTAGTCACAGTGGCCACTACGAGAAAGATTGTTCTTTTTGGTGTGCAAATTTCGTCTGATTTATTAATATCCTTCATAAATAAAAACGCAATTTTAACTTTAAAACTCGTTTTTCTCAAAACACAAATTTTGCCATTTTTTCCAATGTGCCCCTACTTTTTCGGGCACTGATAGTGCTCGGATCTGCAGGAAATTTCGACCAAATTTTTTCCAAAGTATGACAAATTGCAAGTATCTAGTTTAAATTTCAATATTTTATTTTATAATAAAAATTGTATTTATACCTTTACCAGGGTAGGTGAAATATAGACTTCTTACGTCTATTATTTTTCACGCGTATAACATATTTTGTATGTGCTTCCTAATTAGTTATTTGTACTCTACACTTTATTTGAGGCTATATGAACTATGAATGGTAAAAAATTACAGAATTTTAGGGATGAAAAGAGGGGGGGCAAAAAGAATAAGGTTTTAACATTGTCATGTTGCAGAGCTAAAAGCGTAACTTGCAAGAAAACTAATTATATATTTGAAATAAGCACAAAAATTTCCATATACAGCTCAAGTTTCATGGCCCTAGGGTGAATAATAATGAAAAAGTGTCTTCCAGTAGCATCTCCCTTTAAGCGCTTGTCGACCAGTGAGGAATACCCTAACCGAAGTGGCGTGTCATGTAATTGCATCAAGAAGTGCACTTTGTCTGGATATTGCCAACATGTTTTCTCACTTGTGAGTACTGACGCTCAAGCAAACCATAAGCTGCTCTTTAAACTCCCATACGTTGACATGGCAGGTATGCTCACGATGTACTCACAACTATTACACTTATGAAAACACTGCGATCTACCACGCAACGCATGGCTTCCACGCTAAAAAACACGGCATAGTCCAAGGCGTGGTGTCTGCCACATTTTTTCCCCATCAACTCAAAACGCATGTTTGGGTACTTAAAAGTTGTCAAATGCCATCACCACGCTTCACAAAACACACCAGGGACACATTTGCAGGCGTAAGTTTCCCACTTCCCGAGTTGACGCGAGTGCGCTGTAGTCTAAGAAGAGTTGATGCGCTCAGTTTTGCACCTACATTGGACGATTTGAGAAGGTTTGACATTTCAGTACTAGTGATACTTGACTTTCACTCGTCATATTCTTCTAAAGGAGAGCTTGTAACGGAACGTTTAGGTGGTCATGCCGTTTATGGTTAATAGAGTGGGGCAATGTATTTGAGTAAGATAATAAAGATGTCAAAGCACAACGGTGGCCAAAATAATGTACTTGCCTCCAATTAGCTTGGCGTATGCTGCCTCCATATCCGAGTGAAAGGGCTTACAACTGCTCAAGGAGAGCTTTTGGAGTCGACTCATTGGCGGAGGTCGAACCGTCAGTGCCTCAAATTCGGCTGGTAGACTGGGTATCGTCAGTGCGGAAGCCATGACTTTGATGTGAGCCGCATCAATAAAAGATTCCAGCAATATAAGCGACCGTAATGACCGACTCTGAGCTGCTGCTATCAGCAGGGCAGATGGGCTTTCATCTTTAGATCCTTTCACCTGCAGTATGGAAGCAAAATAATGCACTATGAAGCTTTCTGCCTGCGTCGCAGGAGGCCAGGTTAGGCACAAAGACTTCAAAACAGTATATGGAAATTGTTCGTTCTGTGAAATGCACACATTACCTACATGCGGAACTCGGGGATAAGGGACGTCGGTATTACGTGGCATGCCAGACATTGGTCCCATTATCGATCTTGATACGAATACGTTCGAGGGGTGATTTACTGGGATGCGCTGGTCAATGGACCACAGCACAGCTTTACGCAGGGGTTCGAGTCCAACCATGTCATTGGTGCTAGGAGTTTCTTTTTTTTCTAATTTTGTGCAATGTAGTTACAGACACTGGCGGTGGCGGCAACAGTGGCGGCGGACAACTGCACCTGAAGCGAGTTGTGATCTTATAACTGCTTACGCTGTAAACCGATTCCTTTAGGTTAACCGATCTCCAAGCCGTACGCTACAGCAATTCTTGCACGTAGATATTGCACATACTTTTAACTCGCGTGTGTCTAAGGCATTGTAGACGTACTCCACCAGTACTCAATCGCACTGAACAAGACTCCAGTTAGTAAGCTTGCCCATACTCCGTCGCTCCGTTCTTTGTTTCGGTACTTTTCTAGCTGTGTTGCACATTACTGAGAGAAATCGCACAAGTTTTCTCGTTAACTCTGAATTCAGAAAGCTTTCTCTCAACCATATTTTCTGCGCAGCTATGTCGGAAACTCTTGTGGGCAAGAGTGCAAAAAATGCTTACCTATATTGATATTATAATACTGCGCGTTCTAGATATCTGCGCATTCTAGAATCACTCAAGAAAACTTTGTGAAGCACGCCGGCAGTATTTGCCAACAAAAGAGAACAAGGTGCTTTACTTTAAGTTCCTCCAAAGTGGCATGGTTTCGGATGGCATCCGCAAGAGCCCTGCCTTTCCGCTCGAGCAGGAAGTGTTCTTGCATGTGCAGTGTCTTCAGGCTCCGGTTGCGAGACAAGTGGTCCAGGAATATGCCTGCACCTTTATCATCAGCCTGCAAGATTCGCAATTTACAGAAGACTTCAGTAGAGAGGGAGGCGGCAGACATATGTATATGCCATAGAATTTTATGTCTTACCTACTTTAAAGATGCTCTTTTTACATGATGCAGGGAAACCCGTTTTGTTTAAAACAAGCCCATGAAATCATGAACAAACAAGATACCGAGAGACAAGTCGTTGCCTCTTGCCTCATGCCATGCATGCTTCGCCCTAAATACATTATTATAGTGGCCATTTTACATCTTTGACTCCGGTACAACTGATGATTACATCTTTTCTTTGCGACATTTTATTTATACAAAGATGTAGTACAGGAGAGCATCACGTAGAAATTGTTAAACCCGCAAAAATATTGGTAATGGGCACTTACATGCCAGGACGAAGGAAGGAGGCATAAGTTCAAGGAATAGAGAAAGCTTGAACTCACGAAGAATTCCTGAACACTCTTCGCGACCACGATTCAACACTGCGCCCGGCGTTTAATGACTGGTCGGCTGCAAGGCTGCTGACGTTGCCTGCAGCTAAACGCTGTGTTCAGGAACATTTCATCTCCGAAAAAGGGCGAGTCTCAAAATGAAACACAGAGAGTGCGCTATGTGCGAATTCAGTGGCCACACTCCCACCATGGAATTACTGAAACAGGCATTTTAGCAAGAAGTCGGAAATCTCGACGCTTCATTCAATTATATATCATGCCTCACAATCCTAACAGGCGACATTCTCAAGGTGGTAAAGCAGAAACGAAACGATAGCTTGGAAATAAACATTCCTACATGATATCAACACATATCAGCATTTCGAAAGGCCGAACCGTGAAGTTGATATAATGCACTGGATAAAAGGGCTAGCACTAATGAGGAGAAATTTGCCCTCTGCAACACATAGGAAGATCGATGCCAACACATCTCTCGGCTTTTATGAAACAATAATTTAGGGCAGAAGTAAATATTGAATATGAAAAGTATTTAGGGCAAATCGAGGTGGCTGAGCAGTGGTGCAAAAGGACAACAGCAAAATAGAACAATTTTCCAACAAACAATAAGGAAATGTTATTTAAAAGAATATCTGTACGGCCCCCAAGCAGGCACAGAGATTAGTGCTCTAACTTTGCAAATTACTTTGTTTGCATTAGGCGGTAATTGCTATAATTAGCAAGGCAATGTCATCCGAAAGAACATCACAGAGATTGACAACACTTCGCTAAAATACTCTTAGAAAATACGGCTAAATCGTCTGGAATAGTTTGCTTCCCCCAAAAAATATGTTATTACAAGTAAATGTATTGTCTCATTAGAACAGTCCAGCCGAGAACTGTACAACGCTGGCATAATGATCCGAAGCGCCCGGCTTATAAATGCCGCCAGAGTAGACATAACCACTGTTGGATATCATGTACGATGCCTTGTACTTGGAAGTCTCGCATCAAGTCGTCGCATTTGATTTGTACTGCGTCCGCACCGCAGCATTTCTTGCCGTAGAACGTTCCGATAAGAATCGATGATCCTACAGAACACATCATTAACAGGTTAACAATTTCGGCTTGCTTGTAACATGCACTGTGAAAAAAAAATGTATTGACGTTAACAAGATCGGCAACATGAAGTTATTACTTGAAAAATAAAACGAGAATATGCTATTGTTTGGATACATGGTTATGGGTAGTTTATGAGCCTTCACATGTATCATGCGAAAGTGACGTGTTCAAATGCCTATGTGTTCCCTGTGCATGTTTATTGCCATACTTATGGCTTAGTTTTTTTTTAACAGCGTGACCATGGTTAAACTTCTCGTCAATGTTTCAGAAAGAACATTTGCGGAACATCTCGGCATTCAGCGTTGCAGCATGCCAATACTCAAGCACGAGACTGCTCGAGTAAGCACAAATGACTGGCCCAGTGCAAAATTTCCGTTTACAGTGGGACCCGGTAATTTATTCGCTTCATTTAGGTGTTTCAATTTTTCGCCTGGTCTGAAATTTTAAGCAAATAAAGGTGACATGCGTCCATTTTCTCTTCTCGCATTATACGTAGATGTGAACCATGGCTGTACAAAATACTAAATATCAGTTGTAGTACTGTGTGTAAACATTGTCGGCTTAATCGATGAGGCTGAAATGTAGCGCGTCATGCGGCGTGTAACTCTTGGAGCTAAACGCGTCAAAACTTTGATATGATTAAAAGACACGCCATAGTGAAGAGCTCTGGACATTTCGACCACCTAGTGTTCTTAAAGGGCACCTAAATCTAAGCGCATAGACATCAAGCAATCCTGCATAAGTAAATAATGTGGTGACCACTGCCGGCATTTTGAGCCCATGACATTGGTGTGAGCAGTTGACCACCATTAACACTAGACCACCGGTGGCGTATCACGAGGCACTTAAGGGACGTGCCACAGTATCATAACGTAGTGATTGATTGATATGTGGGGTTTAACGTCCGAAAACCACCATATGAATACGAGAGAGTCCGTAGTGGAAGGCTCCGGAAATTTCGACCACCTGGGGTTCTTTACCGTACACCCAAGTCGGAGCACACGGGCCTACAACATTCCCGCCTCCATCAGAAATAACCTAGTGAAATGCGCTCGTACCATTGATTGTCTCCTAAACAGGACCTTGCAACTTACAAGCGCCGTATGTTCTTCACAGGCACTCTTGTGCACTGTTGTGCGGAGCTAGGCATAGATAGCAAAAGCTTATTTTTTAATACAGATACCAAAGCACACGTGCTGGACACCGGAAATAGAGGTGCTGAGGTGCATTCATCTTTGACGCATGGTGTGGTGCATACACATACAAAGGACGACAAAGTATCTCGTAATACAGCTACAACAAAATACCTTTTTTTTAGAAAGAAAGAGGGGAGGGGGGTGCTGGAACTGCGCAACTACGACGATAGTTATAGCGCGAGAACAAAACGACGACACAGAGACAAGGACACGAAAGACACGAGCGCTAACTTCCAACTGAATTATTGCGCAGAGCACGAAAATATATAGAGGAGACAGTGACCATGTGATAAAAACCATATGGCACAAGAGCAGAACATGAGTAAGAAAACAAAAAACAAACAACACATATACAAAGGCACTGAAAAACAGCAAAGAAAAAACCTAGAAGAAACCGAAACAGAAAGGTAAAGCTACCTGCCCGCACAGAATCCTTCGAGGAACCTGCGTTCCTTCTCGGACAAAGCCACGGAGGGCTTGCTAATACAAGGCACCTGTTCGCGTTACCTGCCCGCACCGAATCCTTCGAAGAACCTGCGTTCCTTCTCGGACAAAACCACGGAGGGCTTGCTAACACAAGGCACCTGTTCGCGTGTCATCTGCGCAGCCTCGACAATGACCCGGGTGCTTACATCTCTGTGTTTGTACAACGTCGCTGTTTTCTCGAAGAGGGGAACACACTTGCACTCAGTGCAGTGCTGGGCAAGAAAACCATCTTTCCCGTTTTTAACATTGTTCGCGTGCTCTCTCAGCCGATCGTTCAGACATCTTCCGGTCGTTCCGACATAACAAGCACCACATGAAAGGGGGGTCCTATAGACGACTTCCCGGGAGCAGGCCGCATACCTGTTTCGATGTTGAACTCTGCAATCTGTTGATGATTTCGTTTTCAGGGGGTTGGTAGATTTGGTGAGGCTGATAACTTCAACGGTGCTGAGAACAGGACACGAATTCCAACACGTTTTCCGATTTTTTGAGCCTATGTGATATCTGGTGTACGTATGGAATCACGGCTATCCTTTCACGTTCTGTATCCGTGTTGCTCAGATTCTGTCGCGTCCTCTGCTCTGCCTTATTAGTCCGCAGGATCGTCTCCGCAACAGACGCGAGAAACGCCTCGGGGAAACCTGAAGCCTTAAGGCGGGAAACTTGAGCTTTGAAGCTCGCAGAGATATTGTGGGCGCACGACCTATTTAAAGCATTCTCAAGGCAGGTTCGTGCTATGCCTCGCTTAACTATCTTACTGTGAGCAGAAGAAAAGGGAAGTAGAGGTTTCTGCGCTCGTAGAGGTTTCTGCGCACAGATGTGCTGTGAGCTAAAAACCAGATTTAAATCCAAAAAGCGTAATTTGTCATTATCGGGCATTTCATGTGTCACCACAAGAGGCTTCAAACAATTTTCGAACACGCCTATAGTTTGAGTGGCCAACGAGTGAAACATAGAAGACTTACAATTTAGAATAACCAAGAAATCATCCACGTATCTAAATATTTTGACGACATGCGAGCCTTCTAACTTTTCCTGCAGTTTTTCGCCCATTTTTGCCAATAGAAGATCACTGAGTAGAGGTGCTATGCATGAACCAATTGAAACACCTTTTTTCTGCAGATAAACGCAATCATTCCATTGAACGAAAGTAAACATGAGATACAGCAAAAGCAGGTCAAGAAAATCTCGCGGACTAATGCCAGTTTTTAATTGGAAGTTCAATTCCCCGAAAATTTCTTCGTTATCCCTTTTTACATTCTAGTACCTCATCGTGAGGCAGAGAGTAGTATAGGTCCTTTATGTCAATTGAAAAACCGAAAAGATTAGATTGATTTGACTGTTTGAAAAATTCTATCAGAGCCTGCGAGTTTTTGATCACAAATGGGTCATCAATCTTTAGACACTTTAGATGGGTCTGAATAAACAAGCCGAGTTGCTTTTGCCACGTACCACTTTCTGTCACAATGACCCGGAAGGGCATGTCAACCTTATGTGTTTTGGCAGAAAAAAAAACATGCTGAGCCCATTTTTGTCACTTTTGCTAATGTGCTGTGCTAACTGTTTTAACTCTAGTTTACGACACCTTTCCCTGGCCTGCGTTTTTACCCTATCTAGACGAATGTCGGTACAACATTTGAAAACAGATTCGATAGCTGTGACCGCCTTTTCCAGGTACAAGCAATTAGGAAGAACGGCGAAACCACCCTCCTTATCTGACGGCACGACACAAAGTTCATTGTCTCTAAGAAACTTGGTCGTCTTCCGCACCGGAAGG